TCCATAGGGGAAGGAAGGCGGAGTAGAGATCATCCTCAAAAAGAATGGAGGGAGGGGTTAGAGGTGGTTTTGTGGGTGAGGGCCTTGGACTTCCAGCAAGCATGCTGTGCTAGACAGGAGTGAATGGAGATGAACAGTTTTTGGGACCTGATGAGCTGTTGGAGTGTGAGCAGTGTGAGTGTGAATGGGTTCAGGGAAACCAGTTAACTGGACTTGAGTCCTGGAAATGGTTAGTACAATGCCTGCACCTTAAAGGAGAGGTTTGGGATATTGGCAGTTTGAAGGGACATCTGAACTGTCGTATCTGGGCACCTCTGCAAAGACAGTGTATGAGTGATGGCAAAAGTGTTGAATGATGATGAAAGTTTTTTCTTTCTTTTTGGGCTTTTCTTTCTTTTTTGGGTCACCCTGCCTTAGTGGGAGATGGCCGAAGTGTTAAAAAAAAAAAAAAGTAAGGCTCAGGTTATAATAGTTTGGTGGGAGGGGGACTATTTTCCAGTAAAGTGGACTTAGACAGGAATGCGTGATAGTACCATAATTATTTAGTATATTTATAAATGGGGCTGTAAAAAGAAGTAAATACTAGGGTGGTGGGAGAGGTGTGGATTAAAAGATGTTTCCTCTGACACAAAATGGGCATTGCTCTGTCAATGACATAGATGTTTTGGGGGATTCTGAACCTAGTGGCAAAAGGTTAGTGGATGAATCTGGGAGCGAATATACAAGTAGGAATTTAAGAGTGAACAGAAAAATAAAAGGTGATGAGGGTAAAAAAAAAAAAAAAGTTAGGCAATGAGATATTGAATATAAGACTGGAGCGAGTATGGGGAAGAGATGACTGAATATCGATATTTGGGGGTGAACATGTCAGATGATGGGTCCATAAAAGATAAGCTGAACCACAGAGTAGATGAAGGGGGACAAAGGTGGGTGGTGGGTTGAGGCATCTGTGGAAAGAAATTTATATGGAATGTACAAGAGTATGGTGGTACCAACACTTTTATATGGGCATGAGGCATGGGCTGTGAATATTGCAGCAGGGGTAGACTGGAGGCAGCAGAGATGTCATGTATGAGAGCAATGTATGGTGTAAATATTATGCAGAGGGCTAAGAGTGTAGAAGTTAAAAGAAGGTGGGAGATGCTGAGGTGGTTTTGCCATGGAGAGGTATAGGATGACAAAGCAGGTGCATAAATCTAAGGAGGCAGGTAGAAGGGGTAAGGGTCATCCCAGGAACACCTGGAGGGAGGGGGTAAAAGAAGTTTTTATCTTTAGGAGCTTTAAGCATTCAGAAGGCTTGAGTGAGCATGTTAGACAGGCATAAATGAAGACGAATAACTTTTAATTTTTAATAGACGCACTGTTGGAGTTCAAGCAAGATAGCATTTTTGAAGGGATTCAGGGCAACCAGTTAGCCGAATTTGGGTGCTGGAAGTGGAAAGGGCTGTTTCTGCCCTCTGAAGGAGGTGTGGGGATACTGCAGTTCACAGGTAATCTGAATTATGACATCAGCACACTTATGGCAAACCAGCTAGTGAATGAATGATGAACATTTCCTTTTCTGGGTCATTTTGCCTTGATGAGAGATTGCTCAATGACAAGAGATGAAATCAGTAATAAAAAAATGGTAATACAAAGATTCTCATAGCAGAGCAAGACTTAATTCTGATGTTTCACACACAGGTTAAAAGATTGATTCATGAAGAAAAGAATGTCGAAATAAAGACTCTCTGCTATAATTATCTTCATACTACAACATCTATTCACATCTTTCACTTTTTAAACCAGTAGTACAGATATTAACCAATACAGTACATTAGAACCCCCAAATCCATTGATTCGGTATCCACGGTTTCAGTTATCCAAGTTATTGTGGCCCAAAAATACCTCTTAATTTTGAATAGTAATTCCCCCCCAAAGCACAAAAGTAGAAAAGCTGGCAGTTCTTCAAAGCTTGAGAGAAGTCCTGAAGTGCTTCCCATCAGTGAAAAAGTAATAATTCTCCACTTATTGTACATAATTTATCAATTAAACTTTATAATAGGTATGTATAGGACTTATATATAGGGTTTGCTACTCTGCAGTTTTGGTATCCATGGCAGGTCCTTGGAACATATCCCCCGTGGATACGGGGTCTTACTGTAGAGGGAACTGCAACAAAAATATTAATCAGTATGGGAAACTTCAACTAGAGTATTAATCAGTTTATAAAATAGCAACAAGGGTATTAAAAATACACAGGAAATAGCAACAAGGGTATTACCAAGTAATACTTGTGTTATTATTTTCCCAATAGTTACCAAGTAATCAGTGTGAAATCACAAAACTGCATTTACTGAAAATTACACATATGGGGCTTCTGATAGCAAAAACTGCTTTAGGTTAGTTAGATGCTATTGGAAATTTTGTCTCCAATGCTCCTTTGCTCTAGATTAACATAATGTCACATAACACCTTATTTTGAGGTACAGTGGAACTCCGGTTGTCGTACGGTCCGAATATCGTATAATTTGGACTTAGAACACTTTTTTGGGTGAAATTTTGGTCCGGATTTCATACCTCCATTCGGAAATCGTACATATCAGATGCGTCCACCTGCCCGGGATGCCACCACTCTCATGCGTACATGTCTCAGTCTGGCTCAGTCACTGGTTGAGTGAGCATTCATCCGAAACATTTTGCAATTTTTGTGCTTGTTTATTGAGTGGGACTGCAAAATAACCCACCATAGGCCCAAACAAAGTTCCTAGTGCCAGCCCTTTGGTAAAGATGAGAAACACACTAAAATTCAAGAAAGAGACTGTAGAAAAATATGAAAGTGGCATATGTTTAGCCGAGCTTGCCAAGATGTATGGGAAGTTGAAATCAACAATCTGTTCCATCCTGGCAAAGAAAGTAGAAATCAACGAAGCTAAAGTTGTAAAAGGGGTAAATATGCTAACGAAACAGAGATCACAAAGAATCGAAGATGTGGAGAAGTTGTTGTTGGTGGGATCAACGAAAAACAGTTAGCGGGAGATAGTGTTGTGGAGTCGATCATTTGCAAAAAAGCAAAGCAGTTGCATGCGGATCTCGTAAAAAAAAATGCCTGGAATGAGTGCTGCTGTTAGTGAATTTAAAGCCAGCAAAGGGTGGTTCAACAGATTCAAGAAGCGTAGTGGCATACACAGTGTTGTAAGGCATGGTGAGCTGCAAGTTCAGACAAACGTATGGCTGAAGAATTCGTTGATGAATTCAAGGAGTACGTGGAGGCTGAAGAATTCCTCCCCCAACAAATGTTGAAAAATATCACCCTGCCCAAGCTGATACAAGCTGTATCTGCAACATGTTCAGTGACAATACCTTGCCCATTTTAGGCAAATCTTAGAGACACCAGAAACAGAGCTCTCTGGACAGATTTTTAGTGTGACAGGGGTCCATTGCCAGTAAAAGACAAAGAAGGGAAGTAGTCCCAGAGAGGGCTTTGATACTTGAAGTCCTTATGGAGGGGGATTCCCCTTCCAAACAATAACCTCAACTCCCTCTCCCCTCCTTGCCTTCTTCAATATGCCAAGAAGAGTTTTCAATAAAGGTATGTAATGTTCATTTATCATTAAAATTAGCCATTTATATTTATTTCTCATTGTTTTCTGTATGTAAAACTACAGTTATTCTTTAAGAAATGTATTTTTTGTTAATATTTTTGGGTGTCTGGAACAGATTAATTGTATTTACATTATTTCTTATGGGAAATATTACCTCGGTTTTCGTATGTTTCGGATTTAGACCAACCTTCTGGAACAGATTATGTATAAAATATGGGGTTCCACTGTACTTATAAATTTTTAATATCTCAAAGATGCACACGCTACTCTTTTCTTACAAGTTAACCCTTTGACTGTTTCAGGCCCCTTTCTGAAACTGTCTTTCTATGTCGCTAAATTTTTGAAAAAAAAAAAAAATTAATTTTCTTATGAAATGATAGAGAATCTTTTCCAGATGGTAATGACACCAAAAGTTCGAAATTTGGTCGAAAACTCATGGAATTACGCTCCCGCAAAGTTAGCAGTCTCAGCGACATGCGTATCGGCGATTTCGCCGACTTTGAGCCCTATTTTCAGCCAATTCCGTTGTTCCAGTTGACCAAACTCATAGCTATTTCTTTAGAACTCCATTTTATCTATCAGCTGAGTACAAGAAACCTCCCATTTACTAATTTGGACTACCCAATATGGTGGTCAGAAATTGGCAACTTGGCCAATTTCACGCAAACTAAAAAAGATGCCAATTTCAAAATAGGGTCCAGAATAAACAAGGTAGACATTCTTGGCACTAAAATAACATATCCTCTGTTCATTAGTCACATCTCTAGGCCCCTCTTATATTATTATTGCTTTCTATTTTGATTTTTTATTCACACAAAAAATTAGAAGATTTACTGTTATGCAGATTACTGCATTATTGTAAAAATGGTATAAATAATATCAGTGCACTAGTGAAAGAATATTAGACTCCCCAGTTGACGTGTATTGGACGTGTGGTGTAATTTGTTTACTCCTGAACATTGGTAAAAATCGAACATTTCCGCTACTTTGAGCTCAGTTTCAAGGTCGTTTTCTTCGTCAAAGTAATGAAAATCATCTCTATTTCTGTAATACGTTTTCCATTTTATCACCTAAGAACATGAAAACGCAAATACATCGATAAATACTATACGAAAATACACCTCAAAGTCGGCGTTTTAATCCAAAAAAACGATCAGTTTTTTTTCTCGTTACGCACTGTGTGCTGCAGGATTTTTTTTATGTGGTGCACACTGACCACACAGACCCATTCTCTCATATGTGGGCCTACCATCTTTCTTCCGCTTGATTTGAAGCCGCTAGAATTATTGAGTATATATACGTCTGAAACACTGGCTCGTAAGACGTATATATACGACCAAAACAGTCAAAGGGTTAAGCAACTAACATATTTTTGTGTTTTTTTTGTGAAAATAATAATAATCTAAACAAATTTACCTCATCATTGATCTCATTAATTATAGCACTGAGATAGTCCATATCTCCATCCCGACGATGATGGAAGTACACCTCAGGTCTAGGGTTTTGAGTAAGAAATTTTTGTCCCTCAGAAACAGCCAAGTCTTTCATGGCTTCTTTCAGAGACTTCAAAGCACCTGCAAGCAAACCAGTGAGAAATAATGAGTTATACAAACTATACATAACCACGAGGATATTTAAAATAATTTAAACAATAAGGGGTTGGGGTTCCTTAACACTCTTGAAGGCTCTTGATCTAAGAAACTGAAGCTACCTTCCTCTTTCTTGGATCAAACCTAATTACCTATATGTATTAGCCTAGCATCTCTCCATAAAAATAATTATTATATTTAATAGAATACTAAAACCATACTGATCATACAGAGCACAGGGAAATGGGAGGCAATAAGGTTTGATGTAGTAGTGCTTTATTGAAGAGACAAGCTAATGGTTTACTAAGTTCATCTTTACATTCCTTTAGAATCTTGAAAGCAGTTCTTTAGGACCATGTTTTTTTTAATCTATCTGCTTGTCTTGAGGACAATGTCACTATTGTGATCTTACATTATCTTCATCCTGTACTACATAATTATTGATTAATGGGATTTCATATGTATCTGCTACTGTAAATACAGAGAGAGGAAATAAGTAATAAAAATGGTACACATTTCTCTGTCATCATCAGTAACTAACCAGAGATACATGTAATTGGGTATATCTTTTCCCGAATTTTATTCCTTTATACTTGAAGCAAACCCCCTTTTGGTTGGTCTTGAATTCTCTCTCAACTTTTGGCTTTTCTTATCCTTTTTTTTTATATCTCTGATGAGTTTGATGTATTGGTCTGCTGTATGACCATCTTTAAATTCTCTTGTAAATTTCTCTTAAAATTTTTAACAAAGAGATGTGGTATTTTGTTTATCTATTTAGGGGCATTCTTGTTAATTCTAATTCCTCTATTAGGGAAATATGCAGCTTCAGTAGCTTTTACAACACTCTGGAAACTCTTTCTTCTTTCAACAAACTGGCCATATCCCATTGAGGCAGGGTGGCCCAAAAAGACAAATGAAAGTTTCCCTTTTTAACATTAGTAATGTATACAGAAGAAGGGTTTACTAGCCCCTTGCTCCAGGCATGTTAGTTGCCTCTTACGACACACATGGCTTATGGAGGAAGAATTATGTTCCACTTCCCCATGGAGATAAAGAGGAAATGAGCAAGAGCTAGGAAGTAAATAGAAGAAAACCCAGAAGGGTGTGTATATACATGTTTGTACATTCATGTGTAGTTTGACCTAAGTGTAAGTAGAAGTAGCAAAACATACCTGAAATCTTGCATGTTTACGAGACAGAAGAGAGAAACCATCAATCCTACCATCATGTAAAACAATTACAGGCTTCCATTTTACACTCACTTGGCAGGATGGTAGTACCTCCGGCGGTTGCTGTCTACCAACCTTCCTGCCATTCTCAATCAAGTTTTTGTCACAGCAATTCCTAGCCATGTTACTCGAATCGATGCTAGTCATATAGTACTGTATATTAACCCCTTGACTGTCGCAAGCCTCTTTCTGAAACTGTCATTCTGTGTCGCCAAATTTTTGGAAAAAAAAAAAAAATTATTATTTTTTCTTATGAAATGATAGAGAATCTTTTCCAGATGGTAATGACACCAAAAGTACGAAATTTGGTCGAAAACTCACAGAATTATGCTCCCGTGAAGTTAGCGGTCTCAGAGATATATACGCATTGGCGATTTTGCCAACTTTGAGCCCTGTTTTTGGCCAATTCCGTTGTTCCAGTTGACCAAAATCATAGCTATTTCTTTAGAACTCCATTTTTTCTATCAGTTGAGTACAAGAAACTGCCCATTTACCAATTTGAACTACCCAGTAAAGTGGTCAGAAATTGGCACTTTGGCCAATTTCATGCAAATTAAAAAAGATGCCAATTTCAAAATAGGGTCCAAAATAAACAATGTAGACATTCTTGGCACTAAAATAACATATCCTCGGTTCATAAGTCACATCTCTAGGCCCCTCTTACATTACTATTGCTTTCTATTTTGATTTTTTATTCATACAAAAAATACAAAATTTACTGTTATGCAGACTACTGCATTTTTGTAAAAATGGTATAAATAATATCAGTGCACTAGTGAAAGAATATAAGACTCCCCAGTTGATGTGTAATGGACGTGTTGTGTGATTTGCTTACTCCTGAACATTGGTAAAAATCGAACATTTCTGCTAATTTGAGCTCAATTTCCAGGTCGTTTTCATTGCGAAACTAATCAAATCATCTCTATTTCTGTAATATGTTTTCCATTTTATCACATGAGACCATGAAAACGAGAATACAATGATAAATACTATACGAAAATACACCTTTTTTTTTCTCATTATGCACTGCGTGCTGCAGGATTTTTTTTTATGTGGTGCACACTGACCACACAGACCCATTTTCTCACATGTGGGCCTACCAGCTTTCTCCTGCTTGATTTGAAGCCGCTAGAATTTATGCGTATTAATACGTCCGAAACACTGACTCGTAAGACGTATATATACGACCAAAACAGTCAAAGGGTTAACCTGATATAATCCACAGAACAAAAATCTGGGAGTCCAGTTTTATCATTAAGGTGTTTCCACAAAAGATAAATGTAAGTGATCATTTTTTTTCAAGCTCTTCACTGACCTCATGAGTATGTATCAGGAATTCCTCATTTACTATACCAGATAAAGGCCATGTCCTCTGTTGGCTATTAGAAAATGTTTTAAAAAGCAGTCCTGGACTACCTCTAAGAAGTTGCTATACTAGATTTCCTATCAACTTGCTCTCGTCATTTAGGCTGAAAACAAAACTGCCCATTAAAATCACCGTTTGTATCTAGATGTCATTAAAATTTAGTCCCATAGCAGTTTAATGTGGTCAGTATCTAGGCTTGGGGGTCTGCACATCATACCTAAGATTAACTTTTCATGTCCTTCAAGAAACTGAAGCCAAAGAGATTTTTGTATCTGTACATGCAATTAGTCTAATAAAACCTATTTTATTTCTTTCACTCAAGCTATCTGTCTTTGGTTTTACACCAATTCCTTTGTTTTTGTCAATAACTATCTTACTAGCTATTTTCTCTTTTGAACATTTTCCTTAACTGTCTTTGAAATCCTTGTCTTTTCCATCCCTAGGATCTCCACAGTAGACACAGGAGAGTTGTAATCATGAATAAACTGATGTTTCAGAAAAAATGGGAGACTTGCCACAGAATTCCAGCACCTACAGGATGTCGAGAATGTTTGAAGCCTGGAGGATCCTAAAGGTAAACAGCTCTTACATGATCCCCACCAACTCCAAGCGTGCCTAAATGTATGGACTCCTCAAAATGCACAATTCTAACATCCCTATCACTCGTTGAATGCAATGAGGTTCAAACCCATGGCTAGTGAGTTAATTACAATGGTGTTATTACAATTTTGTGAGTTATCCCTATCACTTCAAGGACAGACAGTGGTCCAATACTCTGGCCAAATATCTGTCAAAATTTTTATGTACCATTAACCAAGCCCACCTGCTATACTCCAAAGATCTGCTATACAGAACTAACTGCTAATATCAACATGAAAAACAAAAATCTAGCCAGTTTGGGCATTATGTTTCTCTCTACTCAAGATTCCCACTGACCAAGCTATCTCCTTGCTTTGCTGTAAAATAAACTCCAGCCATGAGCCATACAGTGGAACCTCAAATATCGAACTTAATCCGTTCCAGGAGCTAGTTCTAAATTTGAAAAGTCTGAAAATCGAAGCAATATTTCCCCATAAGAAATAATGGAAATACAATTAATCCGTTCCAGAAACCCAAAAATGTTCACAAAAAAATACATTTTATAGAGATTAATTACAGTTTTATATACACACAACAAATATAGTGTTCAATTATGTATATAAATATAAAATAACATTTTTACTTACCTTTACTGAAGATTGGTGATGGCATCTGGAAGATAGGGGGGAGGAGAGAGGGAGTTGGGGTTGGTGTTTGGAAGGAGAATCCCCCTCTATGAGGACTTCAGGTAAAGCCCTCTCTGGGGTTACTTCCCTTCTCTGTCTTTTAATGCCACTAGGACCAGCTTGAGAGTCACTGGACCCCTGTCTCACAAAATAACTGTCCACAGTCCTGTTTCTGGTGCCTCTTTAACATTTCCCTAAAATGGGACATGGTTCTGTCACTGAACTGGTTCTAGGAGTTTTCTGTACCAGATCGTCATGCAACTTCCTTGCTTTCTCGCAAATAATTGTCTCTGAAACACTATCACCTGCCATCTGTTTATCCTTGATCCACACCAGCAACAACTTCTCAACCTCTTCGACTATTTGTGGTCTTTTTTTGGTTAGCATATTAACACCTTTCGCAACATCAGCTTCCTTGATTTGTTCTTTCTTTGCCAGGATAGAACCGATGGTCGACTTGTTTTTCCCATACATCCTGGCAAGCTCAGCAAGACTCACACCACTCTCATACTTCTGTATTATTTCCTTCTTCACATTTACGGTGTTTCTCACTTTCTTTACCACAGGGGTACCACTAGCAAGTTTCTTTGGGCCCATGGTAGCTTATTTCACAGTCCCACAAGCACTAAACACAATGAAATAATCGTTAAATGTTTGAATGAGAGCGCAGGTTAGTGTTCACTCAAGCATCAACAAAGCCAAACTGGCTCACTGCGCCTGCATGAGGACGAGGACAGAGCGGGCTGGCGGACAGGTCTGGTACCCGGCAGTCCAAAAATAGGGGCACGTTCGATGATAGGGACAAAGTTGGTTCGAAAAAAGGGTTCTATTTTTCAAATGTTCGATAAGTGATACGTTCAAAATCTGAGGTTCCACTGTATTTAATTTTATTTTGAAATAATTTTCTTTCAGAGTAATTTAAAAAATTTGGTGTGTCATGATTAATCTATCAGAACTGGTTTCCCTGAACCAATATAGCTATTTCATTTGAAAACTGATAAATACCACATTTGTATTAAGTCACCTCTTGCTCTTACCTCACAAAAGTGAATAAATGAGTTTTATAAGATTTTCATCTTTACTGGGTATCACCGTTATTACTTGGCACTGAAAACACCTCCAATACATCCACACTCTTCCTCAAATATGATTATCAAAACTATAACAAATAAATTACAGTGGTACCTTGACTTACGAGTGCCCCAACTTACAAGTTTTCTGAGTCACGAGTCGTTGCTTGGTCGATTTTTTGCTTTGAGTTGCAAGCCAAAATCCGAGTTATGAGCGAGCTTCAGATACACAGCCACTAGTTGGCTGCGTATCTGAAGTCAAATCCAACTCTGTACCCAGAGGTATGTCAGGTACTTCGTCCTATCCCACATGCTCTTCCAAGACATAACTGGAAGGATAATACTCCCACACTAATCCCAGATTGTAGTTAGGCACCTCGTCCTTTGTTTGGTTCTCGTATAACTTCAGGGATGGGGTAACCTCCATTTCAACACTCAGTTTTTCCAGAAACTTTAAGGAAGGCTTCCATGATATTTACCTGCCTCACGGAGGTTCCTTCAGTGGGTGGAGCACTGACAGTGGTGGGTGTAGTAATAGTGGTGGGTAGAGTAATGATAGTAGTGGGTGGAGTAGTGATAGTGGTGGGTGGAGTAGTGATGGTGGTAGGTGGAGTAGTGATGGTGGTAGGTGGAGTAGTGATGGTGGTGGATGGAGTAGTGATAATGGTGGGTGGAGTAGGTATGGTGGTGGGTGGACTAGTGAGGGTGGTGGGTGGATCAGTGAAGGTGCTGGGTGGAGTAGTGAAGAGTGTTGCAAGTAAGTTAAGCAATTAAGGGATAGGGATAAAGTTTATGACGAAAAAAATTGGTGTGGTTTTTTGGGGGCTGGAACGGATTATTGGCATTTCAATTAATTTCGACGAGGAAAACTGATTCGACATACGAGCAAATTGAGTTACGAGCTCGGTCATGGAATGAATCAAGATACCACTGTATTTTTATTAATATATTTTTTATTTTTAACACACTGGCCATTTCCCATCGAGGCAGGGTGACCCAAAATGAAGAAAACACTCTCAATCATCAATCAACGCTTTCACCATCACTCATACATAATTATTGTCTTTGCAGAGGTGCTCAGATACAACAGTTTAGATGTCCCTCCAAACTGCCAATACCCCCAAACCCCTCCTTTAAAGTGCAGGCATTGTACTTCCCATTTCCAGGACTCAAGTCTGCCTAACTGGTTTCCCTAAATCCCTTCACAAAATATTACCCTGCTCACACTCCAACAGCTTGTCAGGTCCCAAAAACTATTCACCTCCATTCACTCCTATCTAACACACTCACACATGCTTGCTGAAGTCCAAGGCCCTCGCCCACCAAACCTCCTTTACCCCCCTCCCTCTAACTTTTTTTTGAGGATAACCCCTACCCCGCCTTCCTTCCCCTACAGATTTATACGCTCTTCAAGTCATTCTAATTTGTTCCATTCTCTCTCAATGACCAAACCACCTCAACAACCCCTCTTCAACCCTCTGACTGATACTTTTAGTAACTCCACACCTCTTCCTAATTTGCTCACTACGAATTCTCTGCATAATATTTACACCACACATTGCCCTTAGATGTGACATCACTGTCTTCAGCCTCCTCCTCACTGCAGCATTAACATCCCATGCTTCACACCCATATAGAAGTGTTGGTACCACTATACACTCATACATGCCCTTCTTTGCCTCCACAGATAACATTTTTTGTCTCCACAGATACCTCAACACACCACTCACCTTTTTGTATGTATTTTCACTTTCATCTTTCTTTATTATTATATTAATGGAAAGCACTGAATCTATAATAGGTGTAGCCCTATTACACTGAATAAAGTGCCCTTAAGAAACAAGGCCCTTCCCTTGCAGGGAATAATTCAATAAGAGGATGTATCAACAAGTCATATAGAATAAAGATGACTTCTTTAAACAAACTCAAACAATCTACAAAGTCAAAACTTCTTTATGGACCACATACCCTACAAGCAACATACTTTTGAGGTCCTTTTGATTTTTCTCCACTAGGCGCTGATGATCAGATGGGCAGGAGTGTAAGAGAGCAGTCAATTGAGTCTCTCTAGTAATGCATTCTCCAAAATACCTAGGAAATGCACAGAACATATAGCATTACACATCTACACTCTGCAGATGCTGAAAAAGCAATTAACTGAACAGCATAAAATAATACAATAAACCAACTGCTTATACCAGGTGAATTTTTTTTTTTTCAACATGCCAGCCATCTTCCACTGAGGCAGGATGACCCAAAACAGAAAGAAACACTTTCACCATTATTCACACATAATCACTGTCTTTGCAGAAGCATGCAGATATGTCACTCCAAACAGTAAACATTCCAAACCCCACCTTTAAAGTGCAGGCATTGTACTTCCCACCCCCAGGACTCAAGTCCAGCTAACCGGTAGTCAGGTGAAATGTAGAGTTATTATTGAAAGAATTAATGGTAAGACAGAGAGAAGGATAGCAGATTAACAAGGAGGATTAGATAGTGTAGGGGATGTGTAGACCAAGTGCTTACATTGAACCATATAAGTGAACAATATTTAGATAAACAAAGCGAGGTAGTCTTCGTTACTTTCATTATATTTGAAAAGGCATATGATAGGGTGGATAGGGAATGAATGTGGCAGATGTTGCAAGTGTATGGAATAGGTGATATGTTACTAAATGCTGTTTAAGATTTTTTATGAGGATAGTGAGGTTCAGGCTAGGATATGCAGAAGAGAGGGAAATTATTTTCCTGTAAAAGTAGGCCTTAGACAGGAATGCATGATGTCACCAGGGTTGTTTAACACATTTATAGATAGAGTTGTAAAAGAAGTGAATGCCAGGGTGTTGGGGAGAGGTGTGGGATTAAAATATGTGAAATCTATTACAAAATAGGAGTTGCCAGTTGCTTTTTGCTGATGAAACTATGTTTTTCAGGGACTCTGAAGAGAAGTTAACCTGAAAGGTTGGTGGCCAAATTTGGGAGGGTAAATAAAAGAAGGCCTAGGTAGTAGGATGGTAGGGAGGTACTACTGTCCTGCCAAGTGAGTGTGAAATGGAAACCTGTAATTGTTTTACATGATGGTAGGATTGCTGGTGTCTTTTTTCTGTCTCATAAACATGCAAGATTTCATGTATGTCTTGCTACTTCTTACACTTAGGTCACACTACACATACATGTATACAAGCATATATATATATATATACACACCCCTCTGAGTTTTCTTCTATTTTCTTTCCAGTGCTTATTCTTGTTTATTTCTTCTTATCTCCATGGGGAAGTGGAACAGAATTCTTCCTCCATAAACCATGCATGTCATAAGGGGCTACTAAAATGCCAGGAGCAAGGGGCTAGTAACCCCTTCTGCTGTATACATTACTAAATTTAAAAATGAGAAACTTTAGTTTTTCTTTTTAGGTCACCCTGCCTCAGTGGGATATCACCAGTTTGACAAAAAAAAATATAAAAGAAGGAAATTAAAAGTGAACATAGGAAAGAGCAAAATTAGATAATGAAAAATTGGCTACCAGACTGGAAGGAAGGAGTATGGAGGAAGTGAATGTGTTCACATACTTGGGAGTGGACTTGCCAGAAGATAGGTATGAGATATCTGTGGAGACAAAGAATGTTATCCATGGAGGCAAAAAGGGAAATGTATGAAAGTATAGTGGTACCAACACTCTTACATGTGTGTAAACTTTGGGCTTTGAATGTTGCAACAAGGAGGTTAGAGGCAGTGGAGATGTCATGTCTGAGGGCAATGTGTGGTGTAAAGATTATGCAGAGAATTCGTAGCTTGGATATTAGGTGTAGAGTTACTAAAAGTATTATCCAGAGGGCTTGAGATGATTTTTGCATTCAGAGAGGATGTAGCAAAACAGAATGACCTGGAGGGTATGTGAATCTGTAGTGGAGGGAAGGAGTGGTAGAGATTATCCCAGGAAAGGTTGGAGGGAGGGGTAAAGGAGGCTTTGTATGCAAGGGGCTTGGACATCCAACAGGTGTGTGCAAGCATGTTAAAAGTTAGAGGCAAGTGGTTTTTATGACCTGATGTGCTGGAGTGTGAGCAGGGTAACATTTATTAAGGGATTCAGGGAAACAGGTTAGCTGGAGTCCTGGAGGTAGGAAGTACAGTGCCTGCACTCTGAAGGAGAGGTGGGGATATTGCAGTTGGGAGGAGTATCTGAGCTGCCGTGTCAGTATATCTCTGGCAAAACAGTGATAGTAAAAGTATTTCTTCTTTATCAGGTCACCCTACCTCAGTGGGAGATAGCCAGTGTTAAAAAGAATTTTTTTTATTAAAGCAAGCTCTACAAAACTGTTAATTATTTCTGACACACACATACCAAATTCATCCACCCTGTCAGATTTTGAACTTTCAGAGTAAACAAAACCTAGGTTTTCCTACCTAAGCTGTTCCAGGGAAAGGGGAGCGTCTTGATACTGGTGAATGGTTCTTGACCCAAGTAACTGGATCAATAAACCTTAATACCCCCAACACTTCCCATTCCCAGAGCTGTATGACTTATGAAGTTAGCCAATCCCCATGATAATAAATACTACCTGAGAACTCTTGCACCTGCCACAAAATACAGTAGTGTCTTGTTAGATTTTCCCTTCTCTGTGTAAAGCAGCTTGATGGCTTGCAAGTCTGCCAGGTTATGTACGTGTGTGCCACAGCACATGTTGGTATCTACATTCTCAATGGTTACAACACGCACTGGACCTACGATGTCTTCAGGTAGGCCTCGGGTGCGGATCTGTAAGTTGGAAAGAAAATATTTGATTCCAATTCAAATTCATGTAATAAAATGCAGTTTAGCTTATTTGTTACTTTAATAAATAAAAAATCACTTGCACTGGGTCAATTACATAAAATCTAAATGTGTAATTTACAAAACAATCTTTATTACCCAAACTTATAAATCTCCAGAACTCGTAAAATCGCGATAACAAGATTATAAACGACTCAATAAATAGACAAGATTCGAACTGTGGCAAGGCAGTTTTAAAATTACCAAGGCAACTAAACAATACAATTATTTTCGACATGTAGTACAAATAATGTATTTACATGTAACAAAACATTGGTAAGTACAAAAGAAAGCCAATAGTATGCCATGCATTACAAGCAAACTAATTCTAATCTTATAATGTTACTTGAGATTTTGACATAGACTATTAATTAAGATTTCTTATACAGTTAACTACAATCTTTCTTCTTCTTTCAACAAACAGGCCATGCTCCACCAAGGCAGGGCAACCTAAAAAGAAAAATGAAAGATTCTCTCTTTAAATTTAGTAATCTATACAGAAGGGGTTATTAGCCCCTTGCTCCCGGCATTTTATTTGCCTCTTACACCTCTTCATAGCAATAAACCCAGCCGTGATTCTGGCCAAGGGCTCTTGATCTAAGGAATAAAATATACCTTCCCTTTCCTAGAATCAAATTTATTTTTCATTTCCAAGCTCTGTATGATCCTTATGGATTTAGCAATTCCCCAAGGAGAAAAAGGTATTAAATCAGTAAAACCTGATTAAACTTGAGTATTCTCTCACTAAGACTCCTTATAAAAAAAAGTAAATTATTAAACTCTGCTCGTATTTCTATACGACTAATTTTATGGTAGCTTCCCCCATTTAAAACTACTTTGAATTAGCTAATTATTGCCAGCTTCCCTTTTATAAATCAGTAAAACGAATTACCAAAGACCCTAAGTGTATATTAAAAGCAAACTGGTGGTTACTTATGCAGACTGTGACAGACATTTATGAAATACTCCACCACAACAGACCTCTTTTAATTTAGGATCTAATGCATCGTATTCTACTATATGAACTGGAGTAGCATCTCGAATTCTCTGGTTGACAGCTTCTTCAAGTAATTCCACTTCTTCTTTGGGAATCTTCTCAGTGTCCAGCTCGATGTAAGAAACAGACTCGCCTAAATACCAGGATCTTGTGGCATAACCATACATGGTGTCTGCTACAGCTGTAAGTACAAGTGATTTATCAAAATCAAAATACATACTGTATAAATATTCAAAATGTTAATTTGCATCTTTTTGCTCTGCTTGCTGTGAAAATTAAAAAAAGCTTACAATTTTCTAAATGTCTAAATATCGAGGCATGGACCTATGGATTACGTATGCATCACTCAGTAACTCAAATAAGCAACACTAGGTCTGGCTAGTAACTGTATGCGACTACAGGAGACAGCCTCACCCTTGCACTATTGGCTACAGATCAAAATGAGCCAGTGTCTGATATTCATATCATACCATAAATTGAATAAATTATACAGGAACACCTTGCATAGTATGGCTAATGTGTGTCAAAAAAATACCGTACTATGCAATACATACTCTACAGATGACAGTATTATTATAATGTTTTTTAATGTAATGCTTTCCAACAATCCCAGGTAGTAGGTTAGTAGACAGCAACCACCCAGGGAGGTACTACCGTCTTGCCGAGTGAGTGCAAAACGAAAGCCTGTAGTGTTTTACATGATGGTAGGATTGCTGGTGTCTTTTTTCTGTCTCATAAACATGCAAGATTTCAGGTATGTCTTGTTACTTACACTTAGGTCACACTACACATACATGTACAAGCATATATATATGCACCCCTCTGGGTTTTCTTCTATTTTCTCACTAGTTCTTGTTCTTATTTCCTCTTATCTCCATGGAGAAGTGGAACAGAATTCTTCCTACATAAGCCATATGAGTCAAATAAAATGCCGGGAGCAAGGGGCTAGTAACTCCTTTTCCTGTATACATTACTAAAATTAAAAAGTGAAACTTTTGTTTTTCTTTTTGGGCCACCCTGCCTCGGTGGGAAACGGCCGATTTGTTGAAAGATTCCAGCAATATGATTAAATGCATCAGATCTTTACACTGCACTCTACCATCACTACACACCTAACATCACCATATTTAGCTGTACTAAAGATTTTTATTACAGTTGTATATAAATGATGTACCATACATACAGTAAAGATAATTTTTATTTTGAAAAATAGTTGAACAACACAGTTTGCATAGTTTTTTCTTCTTTTTATCAGCATATGTATCTTTACAGCATCGAATATCATTTTGTAACACCTGCCTAACTCTAATACCTCATTCAATGTTTGGATCCACGTTCATTATGAAGTCACAAGCATCTACTTTTGCAATTAACATTGATAGTTCATCTAATGTGAATTTTTTGCGGACAATACAAATTGTACTCTTATTAAATAGTAAAATCAATAAATTTAAAAACAAAATATTTTTAAAATGCATGAAAAAACCATAACAAATCAATATGCAGTCCTAGCTGTAGCCACATCCACCTGCACGCATGAAAACAGCGAGTAGAAAGAGATCACGGCCAGTCAGGTCCAGTTAAAGTATTGTACATGACTCATGAGTGATAGTGTCCTGCATATGTTCAAATGCAGCTAAAATAAGTGATATTCAAAGACAAAAATATTGCCCACCACAAGACAGCTGAAGAACCACTCAATACACAAACAATGGAAATCAAAGTCCCAATGGAAATCAAGGATCAAATGGAAACAAGTCACTGACTTTTTTGGGTGATCCTAGGTAATTTACACACATCATACTTCTTTCAACAAACCGGCCATATCCCACCGAAGCAGGGTGGCCCAAAAAGAAAAACAAAAGTTTTTCTTTTTAACTTTAGTACTAATGCATACAGGAGAAGGGGTTACTAGTTCCTTGTTCCTGGCATTTTAGTCGCCTCTTACGACACACATGGCTTACAGAAGAAAAATTCTGTTCCACTTCCCCATGGAGACACATCTTACTATGCATGATAATTTGTGTAACTGTACTTACTCGTACCTGTACCTAAATAAATTTACTAATTTGAAGAACAGAGGAGAAATAGTTTTGTTTGCCTTACAATGCAGTAAATAAAATTTATATTAAATTTATAAACTATATCAAAACCCATATTGTTCAAAACCATACTATGCAAGGTATTCCTGTATTACCTAAAAATAAAGCTTTCTAAGAGTAATCAGAGAATGCTCTACTTAGTGCACCTCCTTCCAGTTTTGGATAGAAGTCCAGTGGATAATCATTTCTAAACATACCTGTGATAAGATGTTGGGCTGAATGTTGCTGCATGTGGTCATGTCTGCGTTTCCAGTCAATTTGCTGAGTTACAACTGCCCCTACTTCAAGAGGTTTCTCCAAGTAGTGTACAGCTTCTCCGCCTCTTCGCAAAACACGCAATACGGAAATTCCATCCACTGATCCTCTGTCATCTGGCTGCAAAAAGAATCATCATTTTTAAATACAGTACAGAGCATTAAAATTATTATCTGAAAAAAAAAAATCTGCATTCTGTATTGAAATTTGAATACAAAAATTGCTTGCTTAGCTTATTTAATTTCTCAATATCCTATTATTATTATTAATATTAAAAAATCCTGCCCCACGTGATGAATGATGGGAAAAACAAAACTGTGGCCATGTATATGATTTCATATAAGAACTCTGATTTTTTTCATGGTTTTATTTGCCATTTCAACATAAACACAGTACACAACCAGGACCCACAAGTAACTGAATTCACAAACACTATGAGCAACTGCCTGTTGCTACCAACAATATCCAAACCTACGAGAATCACCAAGACAAGTATCTCCTTAATAGACCACATCTGGACAAACACCATATCCCCTTTAAAATCAGCCATAATCACAAACACTACAGACCACTACCCAACCTTTCTCATAACTAATCTGGGTAAATTGACACAAGACATTACTAAAGTAACCTTCAGATTACATAACGAGACAGCTGTTAACAACTTTATAGCAGCTATGAATAACATCGATTTGCAAAATGAGCTCGAAACATATACAGATATGAATGAATGTATAAATAATTTTCTAAAAAGAGCCCAATGCTTCTACAACAAACATTGCCCCCAAAAAACTAAAGAGATCACAGCAAAGAGACTGAATAGTCCCTGGCTAACACCCAGCATCCTCAAATCCATTAACACAAAGCACAAATATGAAAAACAGTACAGAATGGGTCAAATAACTAGAGAACAGTCTAAACGTTACTCGTCAGCTCTTACCAGCCTGATAAGAAGATTGAAAAAATTGTATTACGAAAATAGATTACAAAACATCAAAGTTGATATGAAAAAACCTGGAAAACTCTATCTGAAATTCTTGGAACTAAAAAGTTATCCAAAAACAAAACAATCAAACTAACAAAATCAGACGAACCCCTACTCACACCAACTGAAATAGCAAACAGACTCGATGTTTTCTTCTCCACCATAGGGAAAAATCTAGCGAACAAAATACCAAGCTCAAACACCCGTCCATCAGACTACCTCATAGGTACCTACCCAAATACGCTATTCCTAGCTCCAACCAACCCACTAGAAGTCTCACTCATCATCAACACCCTTAAAAATAAGGCAGGAGACATAAACAACTTGCCTGCTTTTATGTACAAAAAAGCTTCTCAAGTATTGTCACCAATTATTGCAGAACTCTTTAACAAATCCACTGAATCATCTACCTTCCCAACAATCCTCAAAATAGCAAGGGTCACTCCAATCCGTAAAGGAGGTGACCAAGCTGACTTGAATAACTATACACCAATATCTAACTTACCAATGCTCTCTAAAATCTTTGAAAAATTAATTCATAGACAGATCTATTCCTACCTCGTCTCACACAACATATTAAACCCTTGTCAGTTTGGATTCAGGAATAATAAAAGCACAAATGATGCTATCATACACATGCTAGAACTAATATATACCGCACTTGAAAAGAAAGAAGTCCCGCTGGGGATTTTCATTGATTTACGTAAAGCTTTTGATACAGTCAACCATGAACTGCTGTACTCCAAATTAACGCACTATGGTATCAGAGGCCACTCCCTCAACTACCAAAAGTCATACCTTAGTAACAGAACTCAATATGTGTATGCAAATGATGCAAACTCTTCCACCCAACCAATCACAGTAGGAGTCCCACAAGGAAGTGTCCTTGGACCACTCCTCTTTCTCATCTACATCAATGATCTACTGAATGCATCACAGCTACTCAAGCCCATATTATTTACAGATGACACTACATACATCTTCTGCCACCCAAACCCAGTCATACTAGCAAACACTGTCAATGCCAAATTGCAGAAAATATCTGCCTGGATGATGACTAATAAACCTACCCTGAATACTGATAAAACATATTTCATTTAGTTTGGAAAGAAAGCTGCAAATGATCCAATTAACATAACGCTAAATGGATCATCAGACTTACAGAGGGAAAATTCCTAGGTATCCACCTTGACAGTAGCCTTTAAGTTCCAGACACACATACAACAAATCACCAAGAAAATCTCTAAGACTGTAGGCATACTATCAAAGATATGGTACTACATTCCACAATCAGCTCTCCTGGCACTGTACCATTCACTCATATACCCTTATCTCACCTATGGAATTTGTGCATGGGGATCAACAACATTCAATCACCTAAGACCTCTAATAACCCAGAAAAAGGCAGCAGTCAGAATGATAACAAATTCCCACTCCTGCCAGCATACTCCACCAATTTTCAAAAGTCTGAATTTGCTCACCATTAAGAACATCCATTCTTATTCATGTGTCTACTACATACACAGAACAATGCACACAAATATAAACCCTCCACTCAAACTTCTCCTCACCAACCTTAGCAGTACCCATGACCATATATTGTAACCCCTGAATGGGTCACAATGTATATAATGTATATTATCTGTTCATATAATTTTATATTGCTTATATTTGAGATATTAGCTAAATCGTAAATATATTGCTTTATATTATTATTTGACTTAGTTATATTATCAGGTAGGATGTAACATTTATATATATTATTCAGTGCTCGTAGTTTGAGTGTTAAGTAGCAGACAGCATTGTCTAACTACCAGTTCCGCTTGTTTCCCTGCCGGCTTCTCTGTGTTGCTGGGCAGAAGCAGTCCACGGAGAGTCACGTGATCGGGGGGGGGAGGGGGTGATCACAATTCACCTGGGTGAGACTGTCTTGCTTAGACTCGCCCTCTTTTCTGTTTGGCTTGGCTTCCAACAAGACGTGTCTTCCTTACTGGCTCTTGTTGGAAGATTGTCTCTGTCACTCTCTTGTTGTTGGTTCTGTATAACTCTGTTCACAGAACATAGCCTAGACTTAGTGATTTTCGACGTTGTACTGAGGTTGTGTGTCACATAGACACTCTGAGAAACTCAGGTCCTGAGCTATAGCTTCTGACCTAATTTGTACTGGCATCTGTGCACTGTCACAGTAGGGGATTTTCTAATGCTGAACTTAGATTCAGTAGTATGGGAGTTTTGTGACTTTTGTGGAGGATCTGCAGATGGTCCCTACTTAGTGTCCTTATATTATCTCCTTGCTCCTGATTGTGTCGCTGTTGCTTGTTATACTGCTGTTCGGCTTAACAGTCACCTTATTGTTCAGGCAAGCTGTTCTGATTGCCAGGTTGGTCAAGAAGTTAGTTATGTGAGGACTTTTAGTCAGTCACTGGTTAAGTCTAGTGGAGTCTTGAGACACAGCGAACTACTTGGAGCACTTACACACACACACACAAACTTACTTGTATATATTTGTATTATGTTATTAAATGTTAACAATGTACCAGACGGTACTTAAAAGCCATTAAGATGTGATATGTGCCTTCAGCACAGTACTACTGTACACGAGAGAAGTGTAGGAACTTGTGTCCTCTATTATATTCAATTGATTAATTTAATTTACTTTGATCTTATACGCCTAGACTTTGTTATTAATAAACTTATTAAATTTTAATTTCTTTAGTTAGTAGCCTACCAGTTGTAATCCTGAAGCACTATTGAATCTTACTAAATTCTAATGGATAATTGGATCAGGATACTGACTACTTGTTACAAAAACCCAGTAACAGGCTGGATGCTAGAAGGGCAGTCCTTTCTAGTATTCACTGGAGATTTCTATGCTTATTAGAAATTGCATTTTTTGTAACACCATAACACAAGACACAGATCTCTTTTTGATGTACCCCATGTATATATCACACTGTAAAAACTCTAAGCACATAAAGGGCCCCAAAACATGGAACTCATTACCAGAAGATACTAAAGTACCCCGGTCTGAAAATCAATTTAAGGCTCTTCTCAAAAGCCACTTAATCACCCTAGACTAAATGCTAAATACTCAGTACACACATACTCACTTATGTATTCCCACATCATAATTTCAACAATTACTTTGAACCTATTACCCATTGTTGACAGGAATATAACTGAATCATTATTTTCACAAAAAGCATTTTTGAATATATGAATATATCTTTTCTCTTAAATAAATTAGATTCACTTATAATAATCTACTGTACAACTATGATATAATTAATATTCTACTGTACAACTATGACATAATTCTTAGTGTTAAGTAGTCTGTAAGCCAATAATGTTAAGTCGGCCCATAATGCCTAGGCATAATAGAGGCTCTCTTTGCATTGCAACCCATTATTGTAAATACAAAATCTCAATGTACTATTTTCAAAGACATAAATAAAGAATAAGAAGAAGAAAATTGTCAAAGTGGGAAGTCTGAATGTGCGTGGATGTTGTGCAGATGATAAGAAAGAGATGATTGTGGATGTTATGAATGAGAAGAAGCTGGATGTCCTGGCTTTAAGTGAAACAAAGCTGAAGGGGGTGGGAGAGTTTCAGTGGAGAGGAATAAATGGGATTAGGTCAGGGGTTTCAAATAGAGTTAGAGCTAAAGAAGGAGTAGCAATAATGTTGAAGGATAAGCTATGGCAGGAAAAGAGGGACTATAAATGTATTAATTCAAGGATTATGTGGAGTAAAATAAAGATTGGATGTGAAAAGTGGGTTATAATAAGCGTGTATGCACCTGGAGAAGAGAGAAGTGTAGAGGAGAGAGAGAGATTTTGGGAAATGTTGAGTGAATGCGTGGGGAGTTTTGAATCAAGTGTGAGAGTAATGGTGGTTGGGGATTTCAATGCTAAAGTGGGTAAAAATGTTATGGAAGGAGTAGTAGGTAAATTTGGGGTGCCAGGGGTAAATGTAAATGGGGAGCCTTTAATTGAGCTATGTGTAGAAAGAAATTTGGTAATAAGTAATACATATTTTATGAAAAAGTGGATAAATAAATATACAAGGTATGATGTAGCACGTAATGAAAGTAATTTATTAGATTATGTATTGGTGGATAAAAGGTTGATGGGTA